AGAGGAGATGATCATCTTGATGAAGCTTGCCTTCCAGATGAGGCTCTGACTTCACAGTGGATAAAGAATCTCCACTTCAAGCTCCCTGTGGACCTGTGCTCAACTGAGCCAAGTCCACACCATTCTCATTAGATGTCAAAGAGAAATGGTCTGGGGACTTGTGGGCTAATAATCCCCTGGAGAATCTGATTTTAAAAAAACCATGATCCCTTCACTGAAAATACTTACAGTTACAAAGGAAACAACAAATCTGGAATGAGGATTGTCAGCTACTATGAAGCTTAAATTTCTAACCCAGGGAAGAACATTAATTCTAGATTATACGTCCACCTTATGATAATACCCTGGGTGGTCTACCTCCTCTCATTGCAAGGCCTCTGGGCTCAAAAACACATCACTTTCTTTCTTGGGATGTTCTGCAGGCGAACTGGTGCTATAGCAGAGGTGGAGACCCCAGGTGATCTTGGGACCCTGGTGAGCTCAGGTGCAGCTAGAAATCCACATGAAAGCAAGTATAAACCCAGCAGGAAAAAACAAGAGCTTTGTGCTGGGTATGAATATCAACAAAGCCAGTGAGGCACTGGGTTCCCCTGTAGACCTGGGCACAAATCTCCTGAGCTCAGAGCTCCTGTCCTTGCTCAATAGACTCTGACAAGGGAGGGCTTGAAGTCACACTGGCAAAAAGAAATCAGCTGGATGAGAAAGTATATTTCCCAGGGGTTTTCAAGGTGAAAAGGAAACCTGTAATTTACACTGAAGCACTCTGAAGACCATGCATATCAGATGTATGTATCTTCAAAAACATATGTGAGGTGGAAAAAATGTCTAGAACATGAAGACCGACTCTCATTAGCCTAACTCCACTTCCTGGCATAACCTAGACTTTCCTCATAAATCTGTGCTCCACTAAGCCAAATCCTCACCATCTGCATTAGATGTCCAAGGTGTCTGAGATTTGGGGATAATAAAAAACCCCTTTGAGAAACTCATTTGTTAAAAAAAAAAAAAGGTTCCCTCACTCTAAAAGTACTTATAGGTAACACACACACACACACACACACACACACACACACACACACGGAACAGAGATTCAAAGATACTGTGAAGTCCATGTTTAGAAACCAAGAAAGAATTCATACCCTAGAATCGTAACTCTGCCTTAACACATGCCCTCGGCTGTCTACATCCTCTCATTGGAGAGCCTAGGGCTAGAAAACACATTAGTTTGCCTGTCTTAAATTTCTGCTACTCTCCTGCTGGCTTTGTAGAGCAGACATGAAGACCATAGGTGATTTTGGGCCCATGGTGACCTTAGGTGGAGCTAGAAATCAACATGAAAGCAAGGATTAATCAAGCAGCAGAGAATGAGAGCTTCGTGCTGGGCGCACACACCCACATCCAATGAGAGACTGTCCCCTGCAGAACTGGGTACTAATCTCTCCTGAGCTCAGAGTCCTTGTCCTTAGTCTACTAGAATCTGACCAGGCAGGGATTGAGGACCAGCCTTCAAAAAACAAACAGCTGCATTGAAAAGTATAGATTCCAGGAGCTTCAGATGTGAAAAAGGTTGCTCGGATTATGCACTGAAGCACTTTGAAGACACCAGCCATGCATATCAGATTTACATATCCGTCTACACATTGGTGAGGTGGGGAAAATGCCCAGGGCCAGGAACTGACTTTGTCCTTTCTGTGATAAATGACTAAGATTTAAACAGTAGTTCCAGGCCCAGAATGTTTACCCAATAAATTTCATTCATTTCAGTCAGTTGTGAATACCCTCCCAGGAGTCCGGCACCTAAATTAACTCACACCACCAGTATATGCTAGATCACACAGACCATTTATACACTTGGTTGAAAGGTGAATTAGACCACCAATGATTCCTTCCCAACTAAGAGATGAAAAAGGTAATAACTTGGGCTCTTTCCATGACAGAGCAGATTTAGGATTTCAAAGCAGTTACAGAAGGTCTCAGAGCTACCCAGAGAGAGAGATGGCAGTGGAATTAAGCACAAACACAGTACCTGGCACAAAAGGCCATCAATGACTGCCTGATCTACAATGTGTACTTTTTCCTCATCAGGCACCTTTGTATTCCGCAAGAATCTTCCTTGAATCTCAATTTGAATAACTAGAAAAAAAGAGAACCTTTGCACAGGAGGCCAATGGTTTAAAAGCTCTTCTTTGGAGAGATACAGTCGAATTTGGAATCAAGCCAATTTTTGCTATGATGTGCAAAAAACATAAATCAACAAATATTTTTTTTAGTGTCTATTACATGTAAGGCATTAGTCTAAAGCACAGGTCATCAAATCTTTAGTAAATAGCCAGATGGAAGTGTTAGGGTTTGGCAGCTGTAGTCTGAGTGGCTCTTGTTCAACTTTGTCATTATGAAAGCAGCCATAGACCTACCTGATGGTACAATGATTAGAAATGGTTCTTTCAATAAAATGTTACAGGTAAAAACTAGTGGTGGGCTTGTTATCCTTGTATGAAGGGTCCAACTTCAGAGAGGACTAAAGGAATTCCACTCAGATTTCCCTTCTTCTCTGGAATAACCTAGATTTTTCTCATAAACCAGTGCCAACTGGACCAAATCCACATCATTCGTTGTCCAATATCATAAGGGTCTTGGTTTTTGGCTAATGATGAAACCGTTTGAGAATCTTTCTTTTTTTTTTTAATTAGTCTCTTCACTCTGAAGATACCTATTAGGTGCATGTAATATAGGACAAGGTTTCACAGATCACACGAGGCCCCATGGATCCCTGGGAAAAACCTTTAGCATAGATGGTAACTCTGCCTTAACACATACTCTGGTGACCTTTATCCACTCATTAGAAGGCTTAAAGCCTCAGAGACATATCATTTTACCTGTCTTATGGTTCAGTGTTGGTGCTGGAGTTGTAGGAGCAGAGGTGAAGACCTTAGATGGAACACTGGTGGCGTTAGGTGGAGCTAGAAATCAACATGAAAGCAAGGATTAATCAAGCAGCAGGGAACAAGATCTTTGTGCTGGGCCTGTACATCAACATAACTAATGAGAAACAATCCTCAAGAGAAGCTGGGCACTAATTTGCCCTGAACTATGACCTCCTGTCCTTGGTCAATGAGATCCTCACAGGGGAGGGCTTGAAGAAAAGCCAAAGAAAACAGAGAGAGCTGTATTGCAAGAATATATACTGGGAGGTTCAGAGGGGATAAAGGATACCCAGGGTTAACACTGAAGCACTCTGAGAAGACCAACCACACATATCAGATTTATGTATCTTTGTAAATATCGGGGAGGCAGGAAAAATATCTAGAGACTGGACCTGTCTTTGTCCTCTCAGTGGTGAATGACTAAATTAATAAATAGTTTCTGGGCCCAGAAAGTTAAAACTCTATTAATTAGTACATAGCATTCATTTCAGTCTTGAGGATACCCTCCGAAGAGACCTGTACCCTAAATGAGGACTAACTCACACCCACTAGCATAGATAAGATCATACAGACACTTTATATATTGACTGGAAGGTAGACTAGACAACAGGTAGTATCTTTGTCTCTTTCCTAGGTCAGATAGGGTGTTGGATTCCAAACCACTTACGGAAGGTCTCAGAGCTACCCAGAGAGTGCTGACAGTAGACTTAAGCTCAAACCCAGTGCCTGGCAAAAATGCAGGTCATTGAAGGCTTGATTAAAGAATGTGTACATTTTGCTTAGCAGGTACCTTTATATATATAGCTTCCTTCAAACTCAACTCTTCTAACAATAAAAGAAACCCTTAGAGAGCAGACAATTGGTTTGAACGCTTGTCCTTTTAAAGAATCAGTTTCATTTGGAATTAAGCCCATCTGTGCCTTGAACAGACTAAACTCTTATTCAAAAAATTTTTGTATCTATTACATGCAATGCATTAGTCTTAAGCAGAGGTCAGCAAACTTCCTGTAAAGGGCCAGACAGTAAATGTATTAGGCTTTCCTATGGCCTCATTGTCAGTAGCTCAACTCTGTCAGCATGAAAACAGCCACAGTCCAGCTAGTACAAGGAGTGAGTATAGCTGTTCCAATAAAGCTTATCTATAAAAAAAAAATGCTGGGCCTGTTTTGTATGTGATATGGCCCTAGGCTATAATGTTGGCTGACCCTGATCAAAGCCATAGTCAGAGGCTTTTAAGAAGTATTCAGTCTAATCCTTTCCCTTCATTTAAAAACCTAATACCTAATATAGAGAAAAAAGCAAGCATGCAAAAAAATCTGATCAAAGGAGCACAATGAACAATAAAGAAGAGGAAACCAAGACATCTAGTAATAAACTTGTCCTCATCAGTAGAAAATATCTTCCCCAGGAAGAAGCTAGGAAGATATAAGTGTAGATGCAGGTGAGGAAGCTCTAACAGAAAGGTGAGATGTAAGCTGAGCCTGTGAGAAATGAAAGAAAACTTAAGCGAAGACTTGGTTATTGGAGGCTCAAATATCTATCAAAGGATTGGGAGCACGGTAAAGTTTCCTACTTATTCCATTCCATGTCACATTTAAAAATTCAGACGGATTGCCCTGACCGGTTTGGCTCAGTGGATAGAGTGTCGGCCTGCAGACTGAAAGGTCCCAGGTTCGATTCCAGTCAAGGGCATGTACCTTGGTTGCGGGCACATCCCCAGTAGGAGATGCGCAGGAGGCAGCTGATCGATGTTTCTCTCTCATCGATGTTTCTAGCTCTCTATCCCTATCCCTTCCTCTCTGTAAAAAATCAATAAAATATATTTTAAAAAATTCAGACGGATCAAAATAATTTCACAACTCCCAAAATTTCATAATCATAATCTCTTCTCCATGTGCTGCCTCCACACATCTGTCTATATGGCTCTATCTCATCAGCTTCTTTGGCTTCTCTGAATTGCTTCCCAGATATAGTTTCCACAGAGTCAGCTGTTTTTTCCATCTGAACTGACCTTATCTGACTTGCCTTTTTAACAATCATTTATATTTTTTTAATTGATTTCAGAGAAGAAGTGGGAGGGAGAGAGAGATAGAAACATCAATGATGAGAATTGATTGGCTGCCTCCTGCATGCCTCTGCCTGGGGATCAATCCTGCAACCCGAGCATGTGCCTTTGACCAGAATCAAACCCAGGACCCTTCAGTCCACATGCAGATGCTCTATCCACTGAGTCAAACCAGCTAGGGCTCTTACTTGTCTTTTTAAAGGAAATAACCTAGTCCAAAATTTGAGATGATGCAAATAAAATTTTCTTAATTTAATAAAAATGATAAAGAGACTCAGCTTATTAAGGTCACAAATATTGTATTCTACTGTCAATATAAGACTTTACTGGAAGAAGATTAAGGAAGAATTCAGAAACCTGGGCCATTATAATGTCCATCTCAAGAGAGAAGAAATGTGGCCGAAACCGGTTTGGCTCAGTAGATAGAGCGTCGGCCTGCGGACTGAAGGGTCCCAGGTTCGATTCCGGTCAAGGGAATGTACCTTGGTTGCGGGCATATCCCCGTGGGAGATGTGCAGGAGGCAGCTAATCGGTGTTTCTCTCTCATGGATGTTTCTGGCTCTCTATCTCTCTCCCTTCCTCTCTGTAGAAAATCAATAAAATATATTTAAAAAAAGAGAGAGAAGAAATGTGAATTGCCAGATTTTTGTATTTCATGAAAATCTTAAAGGCAACTAATAAACAAATTTGCCAGATTTTTGTATTTCATGAAATCTTAAAGGCAACTAATAAACAGTTATTGGGATGCATCAGTTTTTATATTACAACTAGAAGCCCAGTGCATGAAATTCATGCACTCGTGGAGAGGGGGGTCCCTCAGCACGGACTGTGAGAGGGTGCAGGCCAGGCCAAGGGAGGGACCTTGGGAAAGCTTCAGGGCGTGTCCAACCTGTCTCGCTCAGTCCTAATTGGCTGGACCTCAGCAGCAAGCTAACCTACCATTCAGAGTGTCTGCCCTCTGGTGGCCAGTACACATTATAGCGAGCAGTTGAGCGGTCTTAGCATATCATTAGCATATTACGCTTTGATTGGTTGAAGGGATTATTGGACACTTAGCATATTAGGCTTTTATTATATAGAATAATGTCATTTTAATTTTTAAACAAGCAATATCACAATATAATGTGAGTTATGCTTCATGAAATCCAAGGTAAGGCAGAGTGTGGAGGTGGGACTATATATGCTTACACAATGCATATGCAGCAAGATTGAGTTGGTAATGTATCTACTTGACAATCTCTTATACAATACTGTCTATACATTTGAAAATCTCCATTTTAGGTTTGAAATGTTAAGAAAGGTCATTTTATAAATTTTCAGTGACATCAACTCAGAGAAAAAGTGTAGTTGTTTACACTGAATAATTTTAGTTTGAGAGAAATATTCACCTCATCTCCCTATGGAGCCATGAATGCTTCTTCATGAACTAACCAGCATTTTTGAAGCACTGCTGTAAGAGATAGTCTGCAGACTGGGAAGGCCCTCTAGTCTACACTCCTGACTCTAGGCTATTTAACACTTCATTCTACACAAGGAATTCTATTTCCCCAAAGTTATTAAAAAACAGGATTATAGTAACCTTCTCTTTCTTTCTTAAAGGAAGAGAATATCAGTTCTTAAAGGAACTGAGAATATCTTAGTTCATGCACATGAAGTGATCACTGGAAGACAAACTCACCTGACTTTATCTCCAAAAATATATTCTTCTTATAACCATTAAACAACCCTGTGAACTCAATACGGCAACAATAGGTGCCAGTGTCAGACAGGGCTGCATTCTGTATGGTTAGAGACAAATCCCCTCTGGGAATGATTCCATTCATCCTATAACGTTTGTCCTTCTCAAAGGTGACATGGTAGCCATCGGTCATTATGAGTTCATTTGAGCAACTGAATGAAGGACATGCCCTTCGACCCCAGCACATGGGTGAGATTTCATGAGCTGTTGAAAAGATACAGGGTAGCGTGACAGACTGACCCACCACTCCAGTCACATATGACACAGAAACTACAGCATCTGCAAATAAAAACAAAACTGAGTGTGAGGCCTCAATATTTTAATTTTACATTTATGCCCACTTACTTTTTTTATATGGTTTATTTCATTTGTAATCATGTGACTTTAATCTTAAATCTAAAAATTTTTATCAGTTTTTTTCTTTACATCTTTATCAGCATTTTGGTTTTTTGATAGTTGTAAACAACAAATAATTTAACCTTATTTCTATTTTTTGTTAGTCCTTACCCTAGATATTTTTTCATGGATTTTTAGAGAGTGGAAGGGATGGGGAAAGACACAGAAAAACATCAATGTGAGAGAGACACATCAACTGGTTCAACTGGTTGCCTCCTGCATGAGCCCTGACCAGATCCAGGTTGGAGCCTGCACCTGAGGTACATAAACTTGACCAGAATTGAATCTTGGACCCTTCAGTC